TCATTAATTTTACAATATTTCTGTAGATAATCTTTGAACTTCTTCCAATCTTCTTCCATCGACTCTTCTCCCTGGTCTCGGATTCTGCCAGTCATTTCTGCCAGTTCCATATAGTCCATCAACTTCATCTGCCATTCTTCCAGAGTGGGTAGATCTTGTGTCTTCCAATACTTTGCAATGAGTATTCTTGCTGCTGTTGTGGCATACATGAAAAAAGTTCTATCCTTCTTTGGCACCAATTGACCGACTATGCCCAGGAGAAAGGCCTCTGGTTTTTTCAAGAAGGTATATTTAAATATTTTTTTCAGTTCATTGTATATCATTTCCCAAAAAGCCTTAATCCTTGGGCACATCCACCAAAGGTGAAAGAATGTACCTTCAGTTTCTTTACATTTCCAACATTTGTTATCGGGCAAATGATAAATTTTTGCAAGCTTGACTGGGGTCATGTACCACCTGTATATCATTTTCATAATATTCTCTCTTAAGGCATTACATGCCGTAAACTTCATACCTGTGGTCCATAACTGTTCCCAGTCAGCCATCATTATGTTATGTCCAACATCTTGTGCCCATTTAATCATAGCAGATTTCACCATTTCATCCTGAGTATTCCATTTCAACAGCAAGTTATACATCTTTGACAAAATCTTAGTTTTGGGTTCTAATAGTTCTGTTTCTAATTTTGATTTTTCCACCTGGAAACCAATTTTCTTATCCAACTTATATGCCTCCATTATCTGATAATAATGAAGCCAATCTCGCACTTTGTTTTTAATTTCTCAAAACTCTGCAATTTCAGTCTATCTCCGTCTTGTTCCAAAATTTCCCAATATTTCGGCCATTTGGCCTCCATATTGAGCTTTTTCAGAGCTTTTGCTTCCATCGGTGACAGCCACCTTGGAGTTTTATTTTCCAATAAGTCCTTGTATCTTATCCAGACATTAAACAATGCTTTCCTGACAATGTGATTTTTAAATGCTTTATGTGCTTTGACCTTATCATACCACAGATATGCATGCCATCCAAATACATTGTTGAACCCTTCTAGATCCAAAATGTCAGTGTTTTCAAGAAGCAACCATTCTTTCAACCAGCAAAAAGCTGCTGATTCATAGTAAAGTTTAAAGTCTGGCAGGGCAAATCCACCTCGTTCCTTTGCATCTGTTAATATTTTAAATTTTATTCTAGGCTTCTTGCCCTGCCAGACAAATTTAGAAATATCTCTCTGCCACCTCTTGAAACAGTCCATTTTGTCCACAATTTGCAGTGTTTGAAACAAAAACAACATTCTAGGCAATACATTCATTTTTACCGCAGCAATACGGCCCAGCAGTGAAAGCTTCAAATTTGACCAAATTTCTAAATCTTTTTCACTTCAGCCCAGCATTTTTCATAGTTGTCTTTAAATAAATTCCCATTTTTTGCTGTCATGTTAATCCCCAAGTATTTAACTTTCTTAACCACTGTTAAACCTGTCTCATTCTGAAACCTCTCTCCATTGGTGTTAAATTTTTCTCTAAAACCTTGGTCTTTAACTTATTCAACTTAAATCCTGCAACTTGACCAAATTCTTGAATCAGTTCTAAAACTCTTTTGGTACTAGATTCTGGCTCCTGTAACATCAATACTAAGTCATCTGCAAATGCACTCAATTTGTACTGTTTGGCTCCGACCTGTATACCTTTAACCAACCGGTCCCTTCTAATCATGTTCAGCAGAACCTCCAGGACCAATATAAAAAGCAATGGGGAAATTGGGCAACCTTGTCTTGTCCCTTTTTCTATCCTAAATTCTTCCGTCACCACATTATTTACAATTAGTTTAGCCTTTTGTTCTGAATAAATTGCACGTATACCGTTTTCAAAACCTTGGCCTACCCCCATCCCCTGTAGGTTCTTCTTCATAAAACTCCAAGAGATATTGTCAAAAGCTTTCTCCGCGTCCACAAATATCAAAACTGCTTTAGTATTTATGTTCACTTCTAGTTTTTCCAAAATATCAATTATATTCCTCAAATTATCGGACAAGTGTCTTCCCGGGAGAAAGCCCGCTTGGTCTTTATGAATCTCTTCCATCAATACTTTTTTCAATCTCTTGGCCAAAATGTCTGCAAAAATTTTGTAATCCACATTAAGTAACGATATGGGGCGGTAGTTCTTAAGCTGAGTCTTTTCAGTCTCTGTCTTCGGTATAAGTGTAATGTACGCCTCTTTCCAAGACTCTGGTGCCCTTTTCCCTTCCAATATTTCATTGCATACTTCCTTTAAAGGTTGTAATAACCACTCTTTCAAAGATCTATAATATCTAGAAGTCAGCCCATCCGGTCCTGGAGATTTGCCTAATTGCATATTTTGAATGGCACCTTCTACTTCCTGTTCAGATATTTTATAGTTCAGCATTAACTTACGGTACTTTCTTGGGATATTTTTTGTAATCCATTTGTCTTCAGAAATCGGTCTATATCCATTTCCTTCTGTGGCCCTTGTGTATATAGTTGTTTAAAGTACCTCTGGAAACAATTTCTAATCTCAGTTGGGTTATGTATATTCTTTCCTTCCACTTCTAAATTTGTGATAGTATTTAATTTTTGTCTTTTTTTCATTTGCCAGGCCAGCAATTTCCCACATTTGTTAGCTGATTCAAATGTTTTTGTCTCATTTGTTTAATTTTCCATTCTATTTCCTGATTCATCATTTCCATATATTGTACTTGATATAACTTTATTTCTCTCAAAATCTCCTGCGACTTTGGTTTTGCTCTCAATTTCTTTTCACTTTCTTTTATTTTCCCCAAAATTTTATCTTTCTTCTCATTTTGACTTCTCTTCTTTATTGCATTCTGTTGTATCAGAAACCCTCTCATGACAGCTTTACTTGCGTCCCAGATTACTCTTTTTCTACATTAGTATTCATATTTATTTCAAAATAGTCTCTCAAGGTTTTTTGGGCCTTTTTATAAACTTCTTCATCTCTAAATAGGGTGTCATTCATCCTCCATCTGAAGGAGCATTGGCTTTTTTAGCTGCCACGTCACACTGTTGGCTCATGTCAAGTTTGTGGTCAACCAAGACTCCTAGATCCTTTTCACATGTACTGCTCTCAAGCCAGGTGTCACCCATCTTGTATCTGTGCCTCTCATTTTTTTTTGCCCAAGTGCATTATTGAGATGGAGGGGGGTTTGCTATTCTATGTGCAGGTATGTTGTTTTAAAAAATAATTATCATAATTTGGGAGCAGTATTAAGTGCTTTTTGCTAAGGTGAAAAAGGCAGGGTAATTTTTAAAAAATGCTTTAAAAGTGCTTTCCACTTTCTGACACTGTTTTGATCTTTCTCAAACAGGCAGAGAACTACTCGTTGCTAAGCCCTTCATAAACTTCATAACAAGCATGCAAATATTTCTTTGGCTTCTTGGCTGTGCATAGGATGCTCTCCCCAGAGAGGCTCACCTGGCGCCTTCATTACACGTCTTTAGGTGCCAGGCAAAAGCATTCCTCTTTTCTCAGACCTTTGGCTGTTAAATAATCTATGGATTGTAAGTTTGGGGAGAAGTCTGTTATCACAATGATTATTTTATTATTAGGCTGTCTGTCAGTATGCTTTTTTACTATATTTTTGTTATATTTCTTAATCATTGATAATGTAATGTGTTTTTAATGCTGCCCTCGGATCTTTTGATAAAGGGCAACATATAAATTGAACAAATAAATAGATAGCTCCCAACATGAAAAAGGATCCTAGGTTAGTGTTCTCCAGAAGGTGCCAACTTTTCAATGTGCAGGGAGGTTGTCAAATATTCAAACACATGATCTCCTGCTTATAGCCTGATATCATATGATCCAGGAGCAGCTGTTACCTCACCATTCTCCTGCCTATGCACAGGGGCAGACTTTGGTCTTTAACATTTCAGTGGTGCCCTGTGCGAGACCACAATTTGGCAACACCCCCCCCACCTCTCGCCCGCTGTTCTGCTAAATTCACTACATCATAGTTGTGGCGCCCTGCAGCGCCCCCTAGGCTCGGCACCCAGTGTGGGGGAACCAGTTTGTGCTTCCCTAAATCTGCCCCTGGTGTGTGGACTGGCTGTGATTCAAAGGGCAAGGCGTCATGTTTTCCATTTGACACATCTGTGACTTGTTTCTTACCAGTTTAAATACAGAGTGATATATATTGCAAGAAACCACCTTATTATTACCACTGTCTGCCAGAAACAAAGGAAGGAGACCGTGATGCCCTTTGAAATCTTAACCCAAAAGCTATTCATAGGAAAGAGGAGTCTAATTGGAAATTAGTTTTCCCCCCCTCCCTGCTGGCCCTTTTAAGTGTGTAGTGACAGAAGAAACTGGCTGCAGAATGCAGGTGAAACAATGATGTCATTCATTCATTTTCATAACACCACACTGCCAAAAATAACTGCCTGAACTCTGAAGAACACCATGGCCTTCCTGCTGGGACAAAAATAACAGAACAGGGGCCATCTGTACTGTTGCTCTTTGCAGGGTGGGTGGGAATGCAATCTCTCCCAACCCACAACCCCATTTTGCTTTACGGAACAATGAATTTGTCTTTCTCAACAACAGCAAAAATCACTCTTTGGAGTTTTAGATTTCACTGCAAAAGCGAACTAACTCTTTGCAAATCATCAAATGGTGTACTTAACTGCATTTTGCTTCCAAAAAAACATTTAAGAGCACAATGCATATGCATAGCTTGTTCTTTATTCACGGGGATTTGAAGCACTTCCAAGGAAGGGTGGGAAATATGTGGGAGGAAACCACCGATGTGGTGAACGTTATGTCCGATTAGCTCCTATGTTCTGAATGTTCCTTTATGTAGGGTGATTTTCTAGGTGTGCCCTGGAGATTGCAGTGCCCCCTTGCCCAATGCAGAGTGGCTGCTCTTTAAAGTGCAATATCATATCCCAACACAGAATCATAGAGTTATAGAGTTATAAGGGATCAGGGGAATCGTCTGGTCCAACCCCCTGCAATGCAGGAATCTTTTCCCCAATGTGGGGCTCGAACCTATAAGCCTGAGATTAAGAGTTTCATGTTCTACCAACTGAGCTATCCTCTGTCATAATACCTGAAGTTCTTCTTTTTCTGGTATGATGCAATCACATCTTATATGAGAGTTCAATTCCAAGGGTTCCAAGTCTACCACCAACGCCCCTCAGAGCCCACCCTACCACCTCTCCTTCCCATAGCAGATGCAATGATTGCAGCAGTAGCATTATGGAAGAAAGGGGAGACTCACTTCCCTTTGTCCCCCGCCTCCACCAGCAGGGGAAGGGCAGCTGCTGATTTGCTGAGGAACTGTCCCAGTCTGTCCTATCTCTTCCTTGTCAAGTCTCTCACTGCACCTACTCACTCTTGGTCCTGCTTACCAACCCTGTCAGCTCACTCTGCCCCCTCGCCTACCTGCCCGCACTGCCAACCTGCCTACTTCTCTGCCTGCCTACTTGCCTGGGCCAGCCACTTGCTCTTTTGTCATCACAAACTGCAGCATGATGACAGCCTTGCAATTTTATTATATGCAAAGAAATTGCTTTGCAACAATGTGTTTATTAGGAGAAATTTGCACTCAAGCACTGAAGAGTTTTCATGAGGACTTTTTATAATAATAATTAAAAAATCACAATCTGATGTGGAGAAGTGGAGAACCAAACATAACACTGGGAAAATGAGAAACCAAAATCGATACATTGTATAGTATAATGGCCATATACCGTGGTCCTTCAGGTTAAGAACTTAATTCGTTCTGGAGGTCTGTTTTTAACCTGAAACTGTTCTTAACCTAAGGTACCACTTTAGCTAATGGGGCCTCCTGCTGCTGCCGCGCGATTTCTGTTCTCATCCTGAAGCAAAGTTCTTAACCCGAGGTACTATTTCTAGGTTAGCGGAGTCTGTAACCTGAAGCGTCTGTAACCCGAGGTACCACTGTACTACCTCCATGCCCCAGGTGCTGGGGAACCACAGCAGGAGAAGGCTATTTATTATAAGCAGACTTCCCACGGGCTTCTAGTTGTCCAAGATGTTGTATTTGATAGACCTTTGCTATTATCTTTTTTCTTTGTTATTTGTCGAAAACCCTAACTTTTGGTTCATTAAGCCAGTGTGTTCCATTCTGGGTAGATTCTGACTAAGCGTATCTCAACACACAACTATGACAAAAGTGTATGGTTAACTCTCTTGGGGAAATGGGTGGGCAAAGATTGGAGGCTTTTACAGTTATTACCCAGTACCCCAGTACTCTCTCTCTCTCTCTCTCTCTCTCTCTCTCTCTCATCCTGCTGATCTATGTAGGTGGCAGTAGGTGGCAGCAGCTATTAATTCTTTGAGATATTTTAGGGTATATTTAGTACCAGCAGTTATCCTGGAGCCATTAGTCAGACATCCACTTTGGCCTACCTGCTAATCCTCTGGGGTAAAGAGACGCGTAAAGACTCTTTAAAAGGCTTCATAGACTTCAGACTTTCTATGCACAAACAGGCCCTGGGTCTTCTTTCCCCCTTTCACCAGGATCTTTGCTCCGTTGCCTGGACTTTGCTTGCTTCGCTTAAGCATCCAGTTCTCCATCTAACCATTACCCTCTCCTGTTCTTGACAATGTGCCAAAGTGGTACTGGGAGGCAATTAGTTTGTTACTGAAACAAAAGTGCTGCCCTCTTTTAAAAAAAAGTTCTGTTTTAATCTGTCACCAGGTTTTGGGTTATCTGAATCACTTCTTTCTGTGCTTCGTAGCTTGGAATTCAGCTGACTATTACTGAAATTACCTTAGCAAACGGAACATCCAGAATTGCACTGACAACCCCATATAGCTAAATCATTTACTAAGCATCTGACTTTTATAACTTCCTTCAGTAGGGACAAAACAAATCAAAGGCAAAGGGGGAACACAGGAGTTGTGCTCAACCCAGATAGGCTATTGTATGCCCCTACTATCTTTGACTCTTATTTTTGACTTTCTCCTACACATCAAAAATAATAATAACTGAAAATCCTAGGTTTGGGTTCAGCAGAAAGCCTAACCCTGGGGGAATCATTTGCCAGCAGTAGATCAGAACCTAGATTGGACATAGGGAGAAAGTGCAGAGATTTCAGAGTGAAGTGTGGGCTGTTTGAAGGCCCATTTGCAAACAAGCCCATGCTGCTCTTTAAACCCCTAAAACCTGAAGGCTCAAAGAGCAGCATAGGAGATCTTGCAAAAGGGCTTCGAAATAGCCTCACACTGTACTGGGAGGGAGGAACACTTCCCCCTCCTAGAGCAAGCTGTGCTCCCACTGCTCAGCAGCTGATGGGGCATAGGGGAGTGCTTTGCACTAGTAAAGGAACAATTGGGAGCTCACGTTGAGCTCCCAGTTGTTCATTTGAGGCCCTGCCCTTACCTGCTGCACACCTGATGTCTTGTTTGGTGTCAGGTGTAGGGCAGGCGGCTGTGGCTTGCCCTATACTCCAAGCCCAAATGGGGAGGCCTGCTGGGCTACGTTTGGCCCATGGGTTGGAAGTTCTCCACCCCTGTCCAGGGTCCTTCCCCCCAAAGTGGCTAACCAGATACCACTGGGAAACCCACAAATAGGGCACGGGGCATCAGCCCTCTCCTGCTGCAGTTATCGTGATTTGTAGATCGTGAAGACAGCAGACGACTTGCAGCCATCACAACCAGAGTTTGCCACTGGGTTGTAATTGTTTATTATGTATTGTAAGTATTTTTATACTGCCCTTCCATCATATTCCCCGGGAGGCCAGAAAAAGAACAAAACAATTATGTAAATACCCGTATATTTATATATGCTGCAAAATTATAAGTCATCCAGACAATTTCTAAAGAGCCTGGGAAACTGGTCTCACTGCTTGGCATTGTCAGAGCCTCTTGGCCAGAGCTTATAAGATGTTTAAAAATATGTAAAGCTTCAGAACTAGCTTAAATTGCTTAAAGCTATTATTACAGTAATTGAAACATCATTCCATTCTGGGAGCAACATCAAACATTTCCTTTTATCAGGCTGCCTATAGATATTAAGGCTAAACCAAGCTAGTGTTGTCTCTGGGGTAAGATACGGTAGAAGTCTATTGGCTTCAACCAAGTACAAGCATTTGCGGGATTTTTTTCCTACCCCTTTTGATACAGGTCAATGATCCCATTAATGTCACCTGATAAGAAAGTCAGGACCTTTATAAATTAAAGATCACATGTCCTGGGAAAACTAGTTCTTGTTTTAATTTAAAACAGGCTGTTGGTGGGTTGTTGTGGGGGGGGGGTATTAGGGGATAGAGTTTACTCTTCATTTCAAAACAGCTCACAGTATATTGTTAGTTTAGTTCCTGACTTTATTTGAGAAAAGATCAAAGATTCCTGAAAATTGATGTGTAGAATGCATTTAATCATTTCATTGCAATGTGCTGAATAAGTTAATAGTTGAGAAGACTCTGTCAAGCATGATACTAAGTAACACAATTGGGCGAGAGTCAACAAAGTCCTTTATCCACATACCTGGGAGTGAATTCAGTGGGACTTCCTTCCAAGCTGGCAGGTATAGGGTGACAATGTAAGTCTTCTTGATTTCAAAAGGAGTTGCAAACATGCACTTAGATCTCTCCCGCTATCCTTAATGGGACAGTGTATAGGGAAGTTTTTAATGTTTGGTGTTTTACTGTGTTTGATGTTTTAATTTGTTGGAAGCCACCCAGACTGTCTGCGGCAACCAAGTCAGATGAGTGACATATAAACAGTCTGGTGACTTATGTTTCAGTGTATCTGAAGAAGTGTGAATGCACACGAATGCTTATATCAAGAACAAATAGTTGGTCTCTAAGGTGCTACTGGACATTTTTTTTTAATTTTTATATATCTTTCAACTGCATCAGACCAACATGGCTACCTACCTGAATATAAATCATTAGTGTAACTTTGACTTAATTGCATCCATATCCTGGACTGAAAAGCATGAATCTCAAATTGCGTCTTTCCCTTTATGGTCTTATAATGATTTTACATAAACATGCGTTATCATAATATTTAATATATATTACAGTGAATTTCAAAAATTCAGTGAATGTGAACACACCTTGGCGAACTACATAAATGTCCTGAAACATAAATGTTCCCACTTGGGATCCGAGTGAATGGTGAGAATTGCAGTCAGCAGACTGCCATAGCTATCTGCACATGAAACACACCCCATCCATGAAGCATCATTTACAGAATACGTGAGGGACAGTGGATCATACCTGGTGCTTACAGTCTCGATGCTTACAGTTTCAGCATGGTATTTAACAATAATATCTGTCAAGGCTGCCTCAAGTCTTAGCTCACAAAAGACCAACGCCTACGTCTTCTTGAATACAAAGGTGTTTATTGCAGTTCATGGTTTGCTTGACATCTTAGGCGCGCAGCCTTACGTCTCTTACGCTAGACCGCCGAAGTCCCGTCTGAGTCAGTCCCTCCTCTGCACCAATTTAAGAGACTTGCGCTGCTCCACCTCTTTCTCTCCTTCCTTTTCCGCAGGGTCTTTCTGCCCCCTGGGGTTTGCCCCTTCTGGATTC